GGACTTGCTCCTTTAAATGGCACAGTGGCTCGCCAAAGCAATGGATCTTGTGGGAGGAAGAGAGAACGCTTTCCCCTAGGGAGACAGATTGGAATTTCTGGGGTGTGTAGGTGCAGTTTGCAAAAGCTGCCCAGGCGATTCTGGTATTCCCTCCACCTTGAGATGCCCTTGTTTTAGAATCACTGCTCTCAGCTTCCTAACAGCAAACACAAAGAAGGAAACCCTAGAGGAGTCTCTAGGTACTAGGACAGAAAATAAACTTCTCCTGTACATTCTCATGGAGAGGACAATGTAATGAGATGGGGTAATGAAATGGTGTAATGGTGTAATGAAATCTTCCTCAACACATATTTATGGCAAAATTAGCAGAATTTCATAATGCTGATTTTTATAGTGCTACTTAATGTCAGCCAGTACCACCACAATCAAACTACAGTCAATCAAATAATTATATGGGGGGGTGCCTCTGGTCTGGGTAAGAGAGGCAAGATATGGATACACAGTTCTCTGCTGGTCTGATTAGCGGAAGGGGAAGTGCATTAGTTTTCTATTGCTGACACAACAAGTTACCATACACTTGGTGGCTTAAAACAACAGAAATTCATTATCTTACAATTCTGAGGGTTAGAAGTCTGACATGGGTCTTACTGGGCTAAAATTATAATGTTATTAGGGCTGTGTTCCTTCCTGGAGGCTCTAAGGGAGAATCTGTTTCCTTGCCTTTGCCGTCTTTGGGAGGATGCTCTTATCCCTTGGCTCATGGCCCCTATCCTCCATCATCAGAGGCAGCAACCTTTCATCTCTCTAGCCCCTTTTCTGTCTTCACATCTTTCACTCTGACCAAAACCAGGAAAGGTTCTCTGAGTTGAAGGACTCATGTGATCATACTGGGCTTACCTGGATTATCCAGGATAATCTTCTTATCTTAGGGTCTATACCCTTAATCGCATCTGCAAAGCCCCTCTTGCCACATGGGGTAAAAAATTCACAATTTCTGGGAATTAGAGTGTGTACATCTCTGGGAGCCATTATTTTGCCTACCACAGCCAGAGAATAGTGACTATTATGTCACCTGTCTTCTCAACATGTCCTGAAATCAAATTTTAGGCAGCCCTTTATATTCAGACGGGGAAATTGAGCCTCAAATGGCATCAATGTTGGTCTAGTTCTGCACCGGTAGTTCTTGGTCGCGCTGGCTGTGAATGCATATTGGTTTAATTTGGGCATTGTGGGGGTCAGGAGGGTGGTTTATGAAAGTGCTAATGTATATTCGTGGGAAGGAGCATTGTTTTTTATCAATAAAAGTTAACGCTAGCTATGGTAGCCACCAAAAAATGATAGCTGATGAAAATTCTGTATTTGAAAGTGAGTGGTTTGCAATGGGAAAACTTGTTTTCAAGAATCCTTAATTAAGAAGCACTAAGAAAAAGACAACTCAATTTAGAACAAGGCCAAAAGATTTTGTTTCAGTTATCTATTGCTGTGTAAGAAAATACCCAAAACTTAGTATAGTGACTTAAAACAAAATCCATTTTATTATCTCTCATGGTTCTGTGGGGTGACTGGTTTTCACTAGATGTAGATGGTTCTTCTGCTGGTCATGCTTGGTATATCTCATGCAGTTGCAGTCAAAAACAGCAGGGCCTGGAAACATCTGGAGGTTCACCTGGGATGGCTAGGCCTTTCTCCTTCTCCATGTAGTCTGAAGATCTGTCCTCTCCATGGTGGTGGTTTGCACATTGACCTCCACGTATGAAAGGCAAGGAGAGACTTGCCTTTCATACGTGGAGGTCAATGTGCAAACCACCACCATGGAGAGGACAGATCTTCCAGACCACCCAGATTGGTAGGTGAGAGAGTTAACAAGCCAGGGAACTTACATATAAAGCTGTCTTAGGTGATCATAAGGAGCAGATCTCCTCACTTTCCTACTAGAATCTTAAAAGTTTATACAGAGGGTTCAGTCACGTATGCTGTCCAGATGGTCTCATTAACACATTGTTCTCTCAAAGCTGTGTCCTTTCAAATGGCTCCCTCT